GATGGATCAGAGTTGTCCTTTGATGGATCAGAGTTGTCCTTTGATGAATCTCCGTTAGTTAGTTTAGCATCTTTAGGAATGGGATCAGTGAGGTCCGTTTTAGGATCTCCTTTAGTTGTATCTGATCCGTTGTCCTTATTGTCCTTTGAAGAATCTCCGCCAATCGGTTTAATGTCTGTTGGGGCAGGGTTGGAATCACTGCCAACGGGATCAGAGTTGTCCTTCTTGTCCTTTGAAGGATCTCCGCCAATCGGTTTAATGTCTGTTGGGGCAGGGTTGGTATCACTGCCAACGGGATCAGAGCTGCCCTTCTTGTCCTTTGAAGAATCTCCGCCAATCGGTCTAATGTCTGTTGGGGCAGGGTTGGTGTCACTGCCAACGGGTGCCGACGTATCTCTTTGCGGATTGCCATCGGTGGGAGTTGTAGAACTTTGTTGATCATTTGGAACTGGAACTGGGGTATCTTTGGCTGGCGTACTATTAGATAATCCAGAAGGAACGGCGTCATCAGCCATAACACCTGCAACGGCGAGAACCGTGAAGACTAAAAGGAAGCTTGCGTTGAAGCGCATATTGGAGGAAGAGTTGGATTGAAAAGAGGAAAAAGTGTTTTGTGATGTTTTAGTGAGCTGCAACCCTAGAAGCGCACCTTATATACTTTTCTTCTTTTCCATGATGAACACGATTTGAATAATGAGAGTCCTTTTAACTTGGCGTTCTTCAGCTTGAGAGGAGAAGCCACTTTGATAATAGGAGTATAAAGTGAACCGATGACCTCCTTTCTTGACTTATCTGAGCGAGCCATCGCAACCAAAACTCTTTTCATTCAACAAAAAACCCTTAAGGATTAAATCCGCTCCTTTGTTACTTACCAAGGGAGCACTTTAGGGCTCACAGCCCTGAGATCGTGACCCTATGCTGTATATTTCAATGAAACCTCCTCATAATCTAGTCCCTATGCCAAAAGACGGGAGTCAAATCGCATTCATAATCACGCCTTCAGGAAAAGATGTATCCGTATTTAGCCATGTCATCTAGGACCCCCCCTGCTATCCGTAGGGGCCGTATTTATGAGTAGGAGGGGGAATTTCAGAGGATGCACCTAAAAAGTACCGTACGATAAATGAGTTTCGCAAATTTTGACAGCACAGATGCATAATAAATATATATTGCTGTGCTCCTTTAAAGGCAAAAGTAGGAATCTTAAGCCCCTTCAAAATATAGTCACATTATCCTTCTCCTTTCTAATTTAAGATAATCGAAATGTCCGATGTCAAATAGGGACGCATGAAGAATTTCAAACAGAAAGAATAAGAATGAAAATTACCACATCTATCTGGAAGAGAGGGAAAGTACTATGTAAAAGCCAAATCCTGATATCCAGCAGGATCAGTAAAAGCGTGGGGAAATTGTGAATGAATCAAAGTCGAATCACCAGGATATCGATCTTTCAACCTTGCAACGTCTATTTGCCTGGTGGAGGGGTGGCAGTCGTATCAGTACCAGCTTGAGTATCAGCACCAGGTTCTGGAACGGGTTCCTTGGCGGCTGGTGGATCTTTTGGTTTCTTTTCCTTCTTTGGTTTCTTTGCCTTCTTGGGCTTCTTGTGGTCCTTTTCTTTCTTGGGCTTCTTTTCCTTTTTGGGCTTCTTGGGCTTCTTAACTTTTGCATGATGACCTTTCTTGCCTTTTTTGGGTTCTTTGTCGGCAGGCATTGGCTTAGGATCAGTAGGGGCAGGTTGACTGTTAGGATCAGGTTGAGGTGCACCGGCAGGTGCTGGCGTCGTGTTTGCGTCAGGACCTGGTTGTGCTGGTGGTTTAGCGTCCATACCTGTCGTCCCTGCATCTTGAGCTGCAACACTGGCAGCAGCGGCCAATGCCGAGAGAGCCAAAAGTAGTTTGAAGTTGAAACGCATGTTTGATAAAGTGAAGAGAAGAGTGGATTGTTGGTGAGAATTTGATCGATATATCTTCAAAATTGAACCGTCTTTTATATCATTTGATGTATGTTTTCATATAATGTAACGCATTTGAAAGCATCATAATCTCAGCCTATCAAGGAGCTTCATCTCAGTCAGGAAAAGAACCCTTATAGTACGGCTTCTATTTCAGGGTCTACAATATTTTAAGAAAGTATGAAAAGAGTATAAAACTGGTTTTTTATAGTTCCAGTCAGGAGGTCATTGGCGTCTCGGCAATCAAACATGTACGCCTCACGCCATCCTCCTATACACGGTGTGATGTTCCAGGGCAACCTGATATTTGTCTTCTCGAGAAGGGGTGAGGAAGCCAAACGTAGGGGCAAGATCGGGCAACCCCTTCTTCGGCAGACAGAAGCAAAGAATGAGAAAACACTCAAGAGCGGAGATGTTTATGCTATTTTTGACAGACCAACGAACAAATTTTCGGAATTGCTTATAGGTACGCAGAATCGTTGTAAAATATGATTTCAGTGTTCTCATCAGGCATCATGACGTCAAATAAACGCCTGAAGATAGATAACTTGACAGCAAAGGAGCTGATGGACGATCTTGAGATTGAGCGCCATGCACATTCTTATCTTTTGATGACTCAGCAGCCACTCTCGTCGAACCTCTCGTCACATTTACCCTTCTCACATGACAAAGTTGTATATTCTTATGTGATACCTCTGTTGTTTCTTTCTGATGCTTTGCGGTACTTCTGTGTACCCTTTCTGATATGATACCTCTCCTGATATTTTCTGATGTGGTATCTCTGACGGTGCCTTCCGATCTGACATTTCTGATGGTGTCTTCTGATCTGACAACTCCACCGATTTTTCTGAAAGGACACCTCTACCGATCCTGTCTGATATGATAATTTTACCGATTCTTTCTGATGTAGTACCGCTCCCGATTCTTTCTGATATGATACGGTGCTTCTGTGTATTCTTTCTGATCGGATACCTCTTCCGATCCTTTCTGATACGGTAACTCTCCCAAACCATTTTGATGTGATACCTCTCCCGACCCTTTATGATATGATAAATCTTCCGATCCTTTACCATATGGTACCTCTCCCGATCTTTTGTGATGTGATAACTCTCTAGGTCTTTTGTGATGTGATAACTTTCCCGATCCTTTATAATATGATAACTCTCCCGATCCTTTCCGATATGGTACCTCTGACGTTCCTTTCTAATCTGATGCCTGAAACGATCTTGTCTAATACCGTACCCCTACCCTTCTTTTTCTGATATGGTATCTCTGACGGTGCCTTCTGATCTGACATTTCTGACGGTGTCTTCTGATCTGACAACTCTACCGATTTTTTTCTGAACGGATACCTCTACCAATCCTTTCTGGTTTGACTTCTCTACCGTTTCTGTCCGATACGATAACTCCCCCAATCCTTTCTGAAATGGTACCTCTGACAATCCTTTCGGAAGTGGTACCTCTGCTACTTCTTTCTGATATGACACCTCTTCCGATCCTGTCTGATATGATAACTCCACCGATTCTTTCTGATGTAGTACCTCTTCCGATCCTTACTGATATGGTATCTCTGACGATCCTTTCTAATATAGTATTTTTAGCAATCCTATCTAACCTGATGCCTCTACCGATCCTGTCTAATACCGTACCTCTACCGTTTCTTTCTGATATGGTACCTCTGACGGTGCCTTCTATTGTAGTTCCTCTCACAATCCTGTCTAATGCGGTACCTCTTCAAATCCTTTCTGATGTGATACCTCTTCTAGTTCTTTCTGATGTAGTATCTCTATCCTTTATGATATGCTATCCTTAATAACCCTTTTTACGTGGTATCTCTAACGTTCTATCAGGACACCTATGACGATCCTATCTAATACGGTACCTCTATTGAACCTGTCTCATATGATACCTCTCCCACTCCTTTGCTACTAAAGTACCACCCACGATCCTTACTAATGTGATACCTCTGGCATTTTTTTCATAAGTGAATTGATAGTAAAATCCGTTAGTAGAGTATATACAAATAGACATGGTGGTATGGGAGGATAGAGAGAGAGCGATCTAGTCTAATAAAGAGGAGTTTCAGGTGTGAACATTGCTTGAAGTATCTGCCTTGACATCTGCTGTTGCGGTAGTATTGCCGGTCGATTTTCCATTCTTATCACAAACACATTCCGAAGTCGAAGTATGATTTTTGTGCGAATCGTGTACGCCTGCACCGGTTGATGAATGAGCGTGATCTCCCATATGATGTGGCTTTCTATGTTTCTCCATTTTGCCATGATGATGGTGGTCATGATGGTGATGTGTACCATTATGATGATGAGCATGTTCCTTCACGCCTGCACCCATACTTGGCTCATCATCACTTGTGTGAGTGGTATTATGGCTCGATGAATGTGAAGTTGTTTCTTTAGTATGATCGCCAGCATTTGCATCGATACCCACTTTTGCATTTGCGTCTGCTTTGTCTTTTCCATTGGCATCGGTGTTTGTTTTTGCTTTTGGTGCTGGCTTTGGTTTTGGTTCTGGTTTTGGTGCTGGCTTTGGTTTTGGCTCTGGTTTTGGTGCTGGCTTTGGTTTTGGTTCTGGCTTTGGTGCTGGCTTCGGTTTTGGTTCTGGTTTTGGTTTTGGTGGTGGTGGTGCTTTTGCGCCAGCACCAGTGCCGTCTTTATCATCGATACCCAATTTTACATTTGCATCTGTGTTCGCTTTACCATTTGCATCAGTGTTTGTCTTTGGTGGTGGTGGTGATTTTGCTTTATCACCACCTTTTCCATCAATACCCAGCTTTACATTTGCATCTGTGTTCTCTTTTGATTCTGCATTGGCATCAGCTTTCGCCTTAGCGTCCGCTTTTGCTTTTGCGTCAGCTTTATCTTTTGCTTCTTTGTCATCTTTTGCATCTGCATCGATACCAACTTTTCCGTTTGCGTCGGTATTGCCCTTTGCTTTACCACCAGAGCCTAGGTCTGCATTAATACCCGGAGTTTTTCCGCCAATGTCAATGTTTGCACCATCTTTAGACCCTGCCTTTCCCTTTCCATCACCACCCAAATCTGCATCGATTCCTTTTCCACTTCCACCAATATCGACTTTTGCATTATCATTAGAGCCTCCCTTTCCACCTCCACCAATATCGACTTTTGCGTTATCATCAGAGCCTCCCTTTCCCTTTCCATCGGCACCTAAATTTGCATTAACACTGGGATTCGCATCGGCGTTCACTTTTGCCTTGTCATCAGCTTTCCCATTTGCATCTCCACCGCCACCGCCAAATAGGCCACCGCCGCCATTAGCGTTTCCTTTACCACCACCAAACAAACCACCATCAAAGAATGAAAACGGATTATCAGCAACGTCTTTAATCTCTTTGCCTGCTCCTCCGACTGTACCGTCAACCCCACCGCCAGTCTTTCCGCCATTGCCATCCGCACCACCACCACCTGATGCTTGAATGTTTGCTGAATCGTCTGCCTTTACGACGGCAAGAGCGATTACCGTGAATGTGAATAAAAGAGTGAAGTGCGAACGCATAATGAGAGTATATGTTTGGGGTAAAAGAAGAAGTTTGGATTGGGTTGGAGAGTTTTGGGGAATATGGTTTTCGTGCTTTCGAAAGATCCTCGGAACCTTCTGGTTTATATACTTTCCATCATCCATGATGTCAAACGTTCTCACATCAATCCAAGGACGCCGATTGATGCTATTTTCGGTATTCGAGTAAGCGTTATGTGGTTCCGATATAGCATATATGCACCATTGCTCCTAGCTATTGAAGAAAGAATCTTCCTTCTGACATTTGTACAGATTCTATATGCTTGAGATTTGATCAAGACATCAGAACGAGAATAGAATTGTTTCTATTCGCGTCTTGCGATAGTTGAACAGGAGTTGCTTCCATCCACTATCCAATAGGAGGTCATTGAACGCCAAGTACTCGATAGGATGTGTCAATGTTAATCATACCTTTTTCAAGGCTGAATAATGTATGGGGTTTATGTGGTAATTGTATCTTGATTGAGTAGCATGAATAACGCCATTTATAAAGGGAGCATGGAAATGAAGGAGTAACTTTACGCCGACCAATCTATAATCATTCTAGATGATCATTCATGCGGACAAGTCATCGCACCTGTCCGCAATTAAGGGTCATGTTCCCTTAAGAAATCAGATCATTCCCATTTATTTTGTTGTCATGCCGATAAATCCATGGAGAAAAGAGAGGGTCAAATGCATTGGCCGCTTTCCAGCGTATGGGCAACCACAACGCACAGCCAGCCTGTTCGGACATTATTGGAGCATGGCTAGAGCACCCAGACATGTTCAGCATGACTTCCCTTGCGGATGAAGTTGAGATGGATAGGCAAAGGGACCATCTTTGTCACCTCTACGAACCACATGTCCGCGGGGCGTATGTGAATTTGAAAGCGTGTATGTGTGCGTGGGCGTGGGCCTCTTGAGTGTTGACCTTTTTCCCCACACGCTAATTGTTCATTTTGGCCGAAGGAAGGCCAAGAAGGAAGGGATGTTACTGTGAAAGATCTAGACTACGACCATCATACAATCTTGTCAATCATGCCGGATCTCGATTTGGTGATCGATATAATCGCATTGATCGGAGCTACGGCTGGTTTTATCGCGGGGACAACTCCGCCCGTTCCTTTAGCAAGCAAAGAAGAACGTGGAAAAGCATCAAAAGATTTTGTTGGAAAATATGGTTTATCAAGTAACCTTTTGGTGTATAGCATTCATGGTAGTATGATCTTATTTACAATCTTACAAATCGCATTTATGATTCATGCCGATCGTACAAATACAACAATATTTGCAAAAGCAGTTGAAGCAAATATCATCAAACAATCTTGGCTGACAAGCATCTTTAAAGCAACTTCATCAAATCAAATACTCAAACCACACCTATCAAACACACAAGCATGGTTACTCGATCAACGTGTTCGATCTTGGTTTAGGATCACATCTGCATTCGCTCTTCTTGGAGGTATATTCCGGGTAATCTGCTTCCGTACTTTAGGTCACTTTTTCACATTCGATCTTTCCATACGTGAAGGTCATAAGGTGAGTTTTTCGTGGCTAAGGGAAGAATGTTAATCTGTTACTTATTCTCTATTATTCATGCCTGCAGGTTGTCCAAAGTGGTCCTTATGGTGCGTTTCGCCGATTCGGACTCATTTGCAATCACACACTGATAATCTTTTCCCCTTTAACCTGCCAGCCTATGTCCGTCATCCTTCTTATACAGCGATGATTATTCTCACCTTAGGTCAAGTATACTCAATATTCGTGTATGGACCTTTGATCGGTGCAAGTGTAAGATCTTTGGCATGGAACTTGGTCACAGCGTCTTTGGTTGTTCCCGGGGTGAGTAAAAGTATGATCCATCAGGTGAAAGAATCACTCATCAAAGTCACTCTCAATCCTCTTTCAGGTGCTCATCACTCTACGTATTCGGGATGAAGAGCCAATGCTCCAAAGAGAGTTGGGCAAAGAATATACAGAGTATATGCAAAAAGTACGTGCTCGATTAGTACCTTACGTATTCTAACAACTTTAAAGGTATGATTTTTTGATTATAAACAGTACGATGTACATGGAATTGTTTTTATTTTAACTTGTATGCAACATTGTAGTAGAGGAATGCTATTATACCCTTATTCATACATTATCTTTTGCAATTTTAAGGTTCAATGCCCTTCTTGCGCAATTCAGCTTCTTCTTCAAGTTGGATCTGTTCATCGACTCTTGCACCGCGAGATGGCTTGTTGCCGTGCTGTGAAGTAGGAAAAAGGAAAAGTCAGCACAAGAAGAAAGGCATAAGGTTACTGATCACAAAGTACTCACGTCTTCAGCAATACGGGTTGGTGGTTTTGAATTTGCTTCTTTTTCAGCTTGTTCTTCACGTTTTTCTTGTTTTGATGCTTGATCGAGTTTGTTTGCGATACTCTTTTCATCAGTTTTGTCCAAGTTTAAGTGAGAGTTTTCAACACCTTTTTCGTGAGAAGGAGCTGGGTTTTCTGAACCTTTACCGCTTTCACGTTGGTCAGCACCACTCAAGTGCATCATTGTTTTGCTATCTGTAGACATTTTGAAATAAAGTTTTGTTGTTGGTTGGTAGTTGGTGGTGAGTAAGGAAGCTGAATTAGAGAAATAGCTTATTATTTCTCTTCACTGCTTAAAACTCTATCGACTTCAGTATCGTTCTATTGACACAGGTCAGAAGATATGAACTGCCGTTCTGCATTTGTGACGTCAGCCTGATAGAGTTATTCGATCTTGTGCAGGGGTGAGGCAGGACAATCAATCATCTTCCCGCTTCTGCCATTGTGGAGGTTTGCAGGCTAAAAATGCATTTACACGCATACACACACAAGCGAAAGGGTTACATCGCCTGCATACGAATTAACGCGCATTGCAAGAGGTACTTGCTTAGTAAGCCATACTTGTTGTTGACTTAGCTCACTCAGCCGCTGAGCCCCTGCAGGCGTTCCTTTCCCTTTTCAGGGCCTACAACAATCTGGCCCCTTGTCTGTGTTGATCGTCACTGTACGCGTTCATCATATTATTATTTTGGCTTATCAATGCTCCACACCTTCAACCTCAACACCATCAACCTTTTGTGTTAACTAGCACACCTCTATACAATCGCAGCAATGTGGCTAAGGCCTATTGCCCTGCTGGCAGTCTGTATAAGCATTACTCTATTTGGACCATGTTACTGCTCAGCAACATCGCCAAATCGATTCCATTTTACAAACAATTTGCCGTCACTATCACCGTTTTTATCAGCCACGACTTCATTCTTATCAACGTTGTTCACACCTCCTCCCAAAAACACCAAACGTCTACAGTTACGCAATGTATATCATCAGGGCACCCATTCATATCGAGGTCTTTCAGCGAGAATCGATCTCACACCCGATGAAAGCGCACATGCAAGCGAACTTGTCGAAGGCAAGATTCGCACCCGTCGTATAAAGACATGGAAACCAAAAGACATTACACCATACATTCAAGCACATAATGCGGGAGATGCTTTTGGTGTACAAAAGACAAGCAAAGCGATGGATTGGGATGAAATCGAAGTGGATGCGCCAGATGTTGAAGATCGTGAAACGTTGCTTACTTTGGCCAAAATGGCAAGTAAGGCATACGATGTTCCTAAAAATGGATCGGATAAAGATTGGATTGTGGATGGAATGGGAAAATGGAACCTTTCGGAATCCTTTGGTTGGGTTGAAGATGGTATTCGTGGTCATATCTTTGCCACTGAAGATAATTCAACAATCGTCGTTGCTTTGAAAGGAACGAGTGCTGCTCTTTTGGATGATGGAGCAACCTCCAAACGTGATAAGGAGAATGACAACTTGTTTTTCTCTTGCTGTTGTGCACATGTAGGATGGACGTGGCGTACAGTCTGTGATTGTTTCAACGATGGATTAGCACAACAAACCTGTTCATCATCTTGTTTGACAAAAGCATTGATCAACAAATCATTCTTTTATCCTGCAACGACGGATTTGTTCAACAATATCTCTTACGCTTATCCCGACTCGCAAATTTGGATCACAGGACATTCTCTCGGAGGAGCATTAGGCGCTCTGATCGGAATGACGTTTGGTTATCCAACGGTAGCGTTTGAAGCGCCAGCTGAACGAATGGCAGCAATGCGTTTGCATGTTCCTCTTCCGGTCAAAAAAGGTCGATTAGATGCTTTACCCATCACGCACGTATACAATACCGCAGATGCGATCGCGATGGGTGATTGTGTTGGTTCAACTTCGCTTTGTGCAATCTCAGGGTTTGCAATGGAAACACGCTGTCATACCGGTAAGACGATCTTGTATGATACTGTTGGAAAGTTAGGTTGGGGTCAAGGTATAAATGCACATCGGATTAATATTGTGATAGAAGATGTGTTGGATGAGGATTGGGATAAAAAGGTAGCAAAAGCAAGTGCAAAAGCTGCTACGAATACCCAAACAAAATTCAAATCCAACAAGTGGCATCTACCATGGCACAGGAACGACGGAGAAGACGTTGGAAGTAAGCCGGAGAAGCTCGGCTCTGTCCCTCGATTGCGCGATGAAAATGATTGCGTGGATTGTGCGGATTGGAAGTTTACCAAGGATTGATTGTTTTACGAAGATTTACTGTATATTATTATTATTTTTTCTTACTCTCTTGACACTGCATGCTATAATATTCATTTCGCTTTCATTACCCTTCGAAACAAAGAGACAAAAACTTTGACTGATACACCGAGAAAATGAGAGATGAGAAAAGAGTAGGGAAAATCGCAACTTCACAGCAAGAAATCTTTTAGGTGATACACGAAAGGAATACAGTGACGAATTTGTTGGGGTGGCCTCAAATGTGATCATTATGGATTTTTGGTTCTTTATTCTTCTTTATCGACTTTTGACTCGTTTTCATCCGATTGAATGTTGAGAGAGTCAATGTGAACAGCAGTCACTCGTGAGGCGTTCGAATCGCTTCGTTCGAGGCTTGTTGTAGGTTGCGCAGAGTCTTCTTCATTCTCTTCCGCTAATTCATCTTCATCCTCGTTGTCTGCATCGCTCGGCACGGATGCCCCCTCATGCTCGAACAATGTCCGATTCGCAGGTGCTAGTCCTCTTCCGTGCACAGCGTCTTCAAGGTCTTCCGCTTGTTGACCAGACATACCTCTCGATTGCTCCAATTCCGTTGAAGCTTCATCAGCTTTTTGACTTGTACCATTCTTCGGAGCATTACCTAGCTGAGGTAAAGAGTCCAGTGCGACCAGATCGTACGCCTGTACCAATGTCAAAAAGCGTGCATACAAGGAAGTTTCCGCTTCACATGCTTCAAATACATCACGATGATGTTCATGCGCATGAACAAAGATTCTGCTCAGTCTTCTACTTATACTTCCAAAGTGTCGAAGACTTGTAGTGGGAATATATGTCCTGCTAGGAAAATGCCTATGCGAATTGAGCAAAGCAGTTGTGCCGTCCAAGGTATGAATGATATAGTCAATCGCACAACATTGCTTTTCTTCTCCATGCGATGCACACAAATACATCCAATCGTCCGCGTTCATTGCATCACATGAAGAGGGCTTTCGTTTACGATCGCATTCCCGCTGAAGTGATGTAAGCCAAGGCGTTGTAAAATCAGACACAATCCTTCGCAGTTGTTCGTATACCCATACGTCTGTATCAACTGTATGCGGTTCTTCCTCCCCTCCAAAGAATGCATCAACACCGTTTGTACTGGAATGTTCCGATCCGTCTCCTCCCATCGAGCCTACTTCCTTGCCCTTGCCTTTTCCTCCAGCAAATGCATCTGTTGGTGAAATTGTAGCCTGCGGCAAGTTCACAATGCGTTCGACGTCATGTGGATCTTGACGTATAAGCAAAGCCAGATACTCTTGCAGCTGAAAGGGAGAATCGATTTGCTGCAACGCAGGTGCTTGCTCTATGACCGGTTGAATCTCTTCCAATTTCTGTCCTCTTCGAACACGTTTAACATGATCATTCGTTGTTGAAGTGCTGCCGCTATCTTTCATAGATCCAGAAGACTTCAAGATCGTCATACTTGGCGATGAAGGACCTTTACCTCTGATCTGATCTGCCAAAGATCCACTTTGACCTGCCTTGGGATTGTCAACGGATGCGAGCAAAGAAGGATATTCTGGCGCGTTTGAAACCAACGGAGATGAAGGCGCCTTTAATGGTTTAATCTGTAGCGGAGCCGAAAAGTCAGGACCAGCGGCGAGGTAGGAAGGAGGTTGTTGATGCTGCGATGCGGGCAAAGATGCTGGAGTAGTTGAAGATGAAGAAGACGTCGAAGGAGATTGCGGAGAACGAGAAAAGGATTGACGTTTGTTATCCTTTTGTTGTCGATAAGCCACTTCAATCATTGCGTTAAAAGGTTTAGCCAAAAGATTGAAGGAATGAACGTGAACCGGGCTTCGATTACGCGATTAATGAACTCGGATCCCGTTCGATTGAAAGGATGGGGTTCGTGTGGAGAGAATTGACGTTCGTAGTCTGGGATCGTTTAAATTGTCAATGTGCTGCTTTGTGCACGGTTGAATTATGAGCTCATTATCGTCAGTGTCGTTCGGAGATTTATGTTTTGTGATTGTAAGAATAGCCTATGCGTTTCCTACTTGACAATATTGTCTGTGATGATGGTATTGATGGACGTCTTTTTGTTGCTTTGTCCCCAGTATGATCCTCTCATCATCGTTATAGAGAGTGCGCACTTCTTCACTCTGATTTGCATTCATTCGCGTTAATTGCAGGTCGCATTGATGCACACACACACTCTGTGCCTAGGGTTCTCCTATTATACCTACATACTCTAGCGGGGGAAGAGTGTTCTGCGTAAACCCAAGCATGTGCAAAAATGTAGCTTAGCATTAGCACGATAGGGGAACACTCTTAAAGAGATGTGTCACCTGCATGTCACAGCTTATACAGCGCCGTAGGTTGGATACGCGCTTTTGTGGTTTTCCATTCACAGTGCTCCCCCGTCTTTTCCAGAAGCGTACGCCTTCACGTGAACGCTGCAGGGAAGAACGCACAGGCAAAAAATAGCATAACCTTAAAGTCAACTTCCTCAATCCATCATCTCCTTAATTTGCGATTGTGCAATAGTGTATGCTGATCCAATCAAGGAGCTTTGTACGATTTGCTAGCGTTGGAGTTTCGAACACTTTTCAGCTTGCACATCATCGTATCGCTCCGATAGCCGTTAGTGCAAAGACTTGTGCTCGACTGTCAAGTACTTCACCGATTGGCCTTACACATACTCGATCGATTCAAAGATCAAAGACATTTGATAACACCCCTCCTCGTTTGATACCGGCTGCATTCAAGATGTCGACCACTACGGCGCCATATGTCTCATCTACCAAGTCACAATTTGGTGATTGGCCAGCAAACAAAGTTCGTGAAACATTTGTAGACTACTTCAAAGAAAGACAGCATACATTCGTTCCAAGTAGTTCAACGATTCCTTATGATGATCCAACACTTCTATTCGCAAATGCTGGTATGAACCAATACAAAGCAATCTTCCTCGGATTGGCTCAAGCAGATTCTCCTTTGGGTCAGTTGAAACGAGCTGTGAACAGTCAAAAATGTATCCGTGCAGGTGGTAAGCACAACGACTTGGACGATGTAGGAAAAGACACATACCATCATACATTCTTTGAAATGTTGGGTAATTGGAGTTTCGGTGATTATTTCAAAAAAGATGCAATTCAAATGTCTTGGGAATTGCTCACAAAGGTGTATGGTCTACCAGCCGATCGCCTTTACGTTACCTACTTTGAGGGAGATCCAAAGAACGGCTTAGAACCTGATACAGAAGCTCGCGATTTGTGGCTCTCCGTTGGTGCTCTGCCTGAAAATATCCTCACAGGTGACGCAAAAGACAATTTCTGGGAAATGGGTGCCACTGGACCTTGCGGACCTTGCAGTGAAATCCACTACGATCGTATCGGTGGACGTAATGCAGCACACCTTGTCAACCAAGATGATCCAGATGTTCTTGAAATTTGGAACAACGTCTTTATGGCCTACAACCGTGAGCCAGATTCTTCCTTGAGACCTTTACCTGCAAAGCACATCGATACCGGTATGGGCTTTGAACGTTTGGTATCCGTATTGCAAGATAAGCGATCAAACTACGACACCGATGTTTTCCTTCCTTTGTTCAGCAAGATTCAAGAATTGACAAAAGCGAGACCGTATGCAGGCAAGCTCGGAAAAGAAGATGTTGATGGAATAGACACCGCTTACCGTGTCGTTGCAGATCACATTCGAACTTTGGCTTTCGCAATGAGTGATGGTGGTGTGCCTGACAGAGATGGAAGAGGATACGTTTTGCGTAGAATCCTAAGAAGAGGTACACGTTATGTTCGCAAGTACTTCCAAGTGCCAATTGGGCACTTTTTCAGTGATTTACTTCCCACACTTGTGGAGCAATTGGGTACCTTTTTCCCCGAATTGCACAAAAAAGTTGATGATATCAAACAAATCCTAGACGAAGAGGAAGCTTCTTTCGCTCGAACTCTCGACCGAGGTGAGAAACTGTTCGAACAATACGCCGCCAAAGCCAAAGCTGAAAATCGCAAGGAGCTGAGCGGTACGGATATTTGGCGTCTATACGACACCTTTGGTTTCCCCGTCGATTTGACTCACATTATGGCCGAAGAACAGGGATTGCAGATCAATGAGGCGGACTTTGAAAAAGCAAGATTGGCAAGTCTGGAAGCAAGCAAAGCTCAAAATAAGAAGGAAGGAAGTGACATGCCAAAATTGGATGTTCACGATCTCGGTCACTTGGAGAAGGAATTGAAATTGGCTAAGACTGACGACAATGCAAAGTATGGCAGAGAAAATGTGCAAGCCAAGATATTGGCAATTTACCAAAATGGTGGCTTCTTTGATTCTTCTGAATCACAGAACGTGGACAGCAACAAGCCTCTCGGTATTATTCTAGACAAGACCTCCTTCTATGCTGAATCTGGTGGTCAACAAGGCGATACTGGAAGCATCATTATTGACGGACAAGCAGAATTTGCTGTTGAAGATACCCAAGCTTACTCAGGTTATGTCTTGCATGCCGGGTTCTTCAAGTATGGTCAATTGAAGGTGGGCGACAGTGTTGTTGCCGGATATGATGAATTGCGCCGTTGGCCAATCCGTAACAATCACACAGGTACTCACATCCTCAACTTTGCTCTACGTGAGATCGTAGGTGACCATATCGATCAACGCGGTTCACTCGTAGCCCCCACAAAGCTGCGTTTCGACTTCAGCAACAAGGCCGGTATCGCAGTACCGGATATGGACAAGATTGAAAAGATTTGTAATGATTGGGTTGAGAAGAACGTTGCCGTCTATTCTCGTGAGGTTACATTAGAAGAAGCTCACAAGATTCCCGGCGTTCGAGCTGTTTTCGGAGAAAAGTATCCTGACCCAGTGCGTGTTGTGAGCTTACAATACAGCGTTGAGGATATCGAGAAGGACATTGAAAACCCACGCTGGAGAACGACAAGTATTGAATTCTGTGGAGGAACACATGTGGCAAAGACTGGAGATATCAAATCGATTGTCATCTTGGAAGAGAATGGTATCGCAAAGGGTATCAGACGTATTACTGCTGTTACAGGCGATGAAGCCTGTCAAGCAACACAAGATGCAAGTGAATTCAAGAAACGATTGGATGCTTTGGAGAAAGAGCAAAACTTTGATGTCAAAGAAGCAGGAATCAAACAGTACAGTGTTGAACTATCGCAAGCTGTGATCAGTATCGTCAACAAGGCAGAATTGAATGAAGCCTACCAAAAAGTTCGTAAAGCTCATGATGCTAAGTCCAAAGCACGCTCTGCTGAGCAAACGAAAATTGTGACCGATGCTATTACAAAACATTTCGAGAACACTGAAGAGACGGTCTTTGTTCATAAATTTGACATTGGAGCCAACAGCAAAGCCTTACAAGCAGGTTCTGCTTTACTCAAAAAGCTCAACAAAGCTGGCTATCTATTTTCTGCTGCCGTTGATGAGGCTGGAGGAAAAACTGCAGATGGTGTAAATCCAGTTGGAAAAGTTGTTCATGTAAACTTTGTTCCGAAGCAAGATATCGAAAAAGGTTTAGATGGTCGTCAATGGTCCGAAACAATTCTTCCTATTATTGGTGGAAAGAGTGGTGGTAAACCTGAAGGTGCTCAAGGTGTTGGTACTGATTGTGGCTCGGCTGTTGATGATGCTGTTAGAGCTGCGGCAAGATTCTACACCGAGCGTACTTTCCGATCATCTTTGCCCGGACAAGGTGAAAAGTTGGATGCGGCATAAGAAGCAAGACATCTTTGAAGATAGATCTCTCGTAACAAAAATCGTCATTGCGTTGTAGTGCTATAAATGAAATATTTTAGAAAACCTTGTTTCCAGAAGGGTTGGTATATGTGTGCTCGTCATCTCTGCAAAAGGTTCACGATTGATGATTATGATCGGCGCTATCAGCCTATCTCTACTCTGACAAAGATCCAAAAGATGGTGATGAGAAAGAGAGCACGTCGTCATCAATTCAATTTTCAGCGGCACTTAGCGTGTAGCAGTGCGCGTGTGTACAGTACAAGCCACCCTTTTTAGTGTGCATGCGCTGCGCAGGCTGCGCTGGTAACTTTTGTGTCAGAGGAATTCTTGGATCACTTCGGATATTAGAATCCCAGTCTTGCTTTCAATGATACTTCTTTTTGGTTCACGATCATCGATTCACTTCCTTTGAATAGCATAGAGGGGAAGTTGAAATTCTATCGTACGTAAGCAGGCAAGCAAGTACGCAGACACACACGCACGCACGACATTCAAGAAGTTCTTCGCTCATTCGTCAATCGTGCACTGACCCTAACCTATCAATCACACTTCCATTCATCCTTCTTCAAGCTTGAATTTGGACTACCAAAATAAGCTCAAGCAATCGGCAGAGGCGAAGAAGAGGCTGTATTTAGGACTTTTGGAAGGGCGACTCTACTGTGCCACTCCCTCACAGACAATCGGGCGGCTTACACTCATTTCCCTCACAAGATCATCATATCACCATGGACCCACGTCTAGATCCATCTACGGCTGTTGTCAGTCCGGTAGACGATCAAGCATCAACACCTATGGAGGTGGACGAACCTGTTTCCGTTCTTGATGAACGTGCATTTGCAGTAAAGCATTTGGCGGATCTGGGTCAAGAAGAGGAAGATTTCAAAGTGATGCATTGGGATATCAATAATTGGGGATCACTAGACAAGCGTATCACAGGACCGGAATTCGAATGTGGTGGACATAGATGGAGAATATTGCTTTTTCCCTTTGGAAATTCGAACGGACAACCAAATGATATGGTTTCCGTTTATCTAGATTATGCAGACCCAAAAGGAAGTCCAGAGGGATGGCATGTATGCGCACAATTTGCTCTAGTAATATCTAATCCGCAGGATCCTACTGTTTCCTCCTCAAGTCAAGCTCACCATCGCTTTACTGCTGAGGAAATGGATTGGGGATTCACACGTTTCAACGAATTGAGAAAGTTGAGCGTTCCCACCGAAGGTCGTCAACGTCCAATCATCGAGAGGGAATCAGCCCGAGTTTCAGCTTTCGTTCGAGTTCTCAAAGATCCAACAGGCGTACTTTGGCATAACTTTATCAACTATGATTCAAAGAAAGAGACTGGCTACGTCGGACTAAAAAATCAGGGTGCAACATGTTATATGAACTCTCTATTACAATCCCTCTTTTGCACGCATTACTTCCGCCGGGCGGTTTATCAAATTCCCACAGAGAACGAGCAGCCGTCTGAGAGCGTCGCATTGGCATTGCAAAGAGTTTTTTATCTTTTGCAAACATCCGATCAGCCTGTAGGAACGAATGAATTGACCAAATCTTTCGGCTGGAAATCGCTAGATTCATTCTTGCAGCATGATGTACAAGAATTCAATCGAGTTCTACAAGAGAAGCTAGAAACCAAAATGAAAGGAACGATAGCTGATGGCGCTATCACAAAATTGTTTGTCGGAAAGATGAAGAGTTATTTGCGTTGCGTCAATGTGGACTACGAATCTTCACGTATAGAAGACTTCTATGATATTCAGCTAAATGTCAAGGGAATGGCAAATTTGGAAGACTCTTTCCGCGATTACGTTGAGGTGGAAATGCTAGAGGGCGATAACAAATACCAAGCTGAGGGCTACGGATTACAAGATGCAAAAAAGGGAGTTATCTTCGAGAGTTTTCCACCTGTTCTACACCTCCAACTCAAGCGCTTCGAGTACGATATCGAAAAGGATGCTATGGTCAAGATCAACGATCGTCACGAATTCCCTATGGACATCGATTTGGCTCCATACGTGGACAAACAATCGCCAAAGAAGAATGAGAATTGGAAATATAAATTGCATGGTGTTTTGGTTCATTCGGGCGATCTACATGGCGGTCATTACTTTGCACTTTTAAAGCCCGAACGGGACGGAAAATGGTACAAATTTGATGATGATCGTGTTACACCAGTGACCGACAAAGAAGTTTTGGAAGACAACTTTGGAGGTGAGATTCCAAACGGACATCTTGGCGGCGTGGCTCGAGCTCCTGTTCGAGCAATGAAGCGGTTCACAAATGCGTACATGTTGGTATACGTCCGAGACGTAGAAGCTCCTGAAATTTTGAAACCATTCACTGTTGAGGACACGCCAGCACACCTACGCGAGAGGTTGGAACAAGAACGTATTCAGATGGAGGCAAGGAAGCGAGAACGAGAAGAACAACACTTGTACTTGACGGTCAAGGTGATCAACGAAGATACATTCAAGCTTCATCAAGGATTTGACCTTGCAACATTTGAAGAACGCAATCTTCCTGCTTCAGACTTGCCTTCTTTCCGTGTTCTGAAGAATGAGCCTTTCTTGCTTTTCAAGAGCAAGCTTGCCCAACAATTCGGATTGGATGAAGCTGCTATGCGGTTATGGGTCTTGGTCAATCGACAGAATAAGACTGTTAGACCTGACACAGTTGTGCCAGAGAATGATCCGAATCTTACATTGGAAACCGTACGTGATCGTATGGCTTCTCGACAAAATGATTTGAGACTATATCTCGAAATGATGGGTCCAAATGATCAAATTGATAAATCACAAGGACCAATCATGATCTTCTTGAAGTACTTTGACGTTTCTCGACAATCACTTACAGGTGTCGGAAGGGTTTATGTGAGCAAAAATCAAAAGGTATCTGATCTCGTCCCAACGATCAATCAATTGATGCTTTGGCCACCGACAGTACAGCTACGACTATACGAAGAGATCAAGCCAGGTATGATTGAACAAATGAAGATGAAGGCTACATTTTTGCAAAGCGAGATCCAGGACGGTGATGTGATTTGCTTCCAGACGGAAATCTCTGAGAAGGATGCACATGATTATGAGGCACAGTCACTCTACTCCAATCCCATCCAATTCTACGACTTCTTGCAGAATCAGATCAAGGTTTTGTTCAAGCCAAGGTACGATGATGTGGACTACAAAGGAGAATACGAGATCACATTGAGCAAGAAGATGACTTACGATATGATGGCAGCCAAATTTGGTGATCGATTGAAGCATGACCCATTGAAGCTGCGGTTCACAACGGCAAACGGACCAAACGGAACACCAAAGACTGTTTTGAAGCGTACAGCCAATCAAACAGTGAATGAGATAGTCCAACCCAGCTATATTCAAGGCCAAGCATCGCTATTGTACTATGAACTATTAGACGTTTCGATTGTGGAATTGGAAACAAAGAGAAGCCTGAAGATTTGGTGGATGGGAGCACACAATCGTGAAGAAGCGGCACAATCGTTCTTATTGCCCAAGACATTCAATATCAATGATGTTGTTGAACATCTTGCCAAAACGGTGGAGCTATCACCTAATGGATCGCGCAAGATTCGCATTTTCGAGGTCATTGGAAATGGACGTCAACAGAGAGAATTCAATGGAGGTGAGATGATCGGAAACATTAGTGAAATGACGGACTTGTTTGGAGAAGAAGTTTCGGTGGAAGAAGCACAAGTGAAAGACGATGAGAAGATTATCAATGTTTTCCATTTTAGCAAAGATGCAAATCGTACACATGGTGTTCCGTTCAAATTTGTTGTCAAGCCAGACGAAAAGTTTAGCGAAACAAAACTTCGAATTCAGCAACGCTTAGCAGTACCCGAGAAGGACTTCGCTAAATTCCGATTTGCTTTGGTTCAATCAAGCACATACAAGCAACCATCTTATTTGGAAGATGATGATGTGATTTATGATCATAAATTCTTGCCTGATGATGTTTTAGGATTAGATCATATAGATCGATCCGGTAAAACGGGAAGGATCGCAACTGCAGTGCAAGATAGAGGAATTCGAATTCGCAATTAGGAACCATTGAGACGTTATGAGCAGATGATATACACACACACCAGAAAATTCCATGTACTCTTATTCAATACTTCGTTTATAATCTCCTTCTCTTCACCTTGAACCCATTGTTAACCATATCTTGTAGGGCATGTAAACAAAATATTTTCATTTCTCGTTGAAATGAGGTATGAGCTAAGGGTCTGCTCGACCGTTGTCATTATAATCGCGATAGATTCAATTTACCCCTTTTTTCAGATCTATTTTTATTCTTTCGCTTCATTTATCTTATGTGTGGGACTGTCTTTACGCCGATCCCAGAGAAGATCCCAAGGGTGATAGGATCATCAGACGGGATCATATAGAGCAGCTATGACCCTTTTCCCGGATATAACAGCAGGTAAAGTGCTTTGGCTATTTTATTCGATTACGCCATTGCCGCTTCGGATATTCTTTATGCGAATAATAAGCCAACCCCCAAATTCATGCCAGCGGGTGGCCGCGTTTTGAATTCAATTCATTCCCCGCTTTTTAATTTCCTTACAATTGTCCTCCGATCTATCAATTGTGTCAATTGCTCTTGACTTGAATGAATGTCTTTCTTTCAATTACGTCTATATTGCTATCTTTCCTCAAATATTTCCGGAAGAAAGAATTGGAATTTACGGGATCGTTTTCAGTTGGCCTATGCATGCATTGGCCGTTTTTTGCATCTTTTTGCATTGCGTATTATTTAATGCACGCTAATAATCTCATATCAGCCGCTTCAAAATCGGACCTTTTCCGTCATTTGGCGGCGCATACACATTTTCAAAAAAAAAGCACTAGGAACACATCATCATCATTATGTGTGCAAATTGATCATCGTTCCAGCTACATTCAAAATTCTCATTCAAATGCCAAGTGAATGCATTTCATGATTTCAAATAATTTTCAATTTTCTCACCCTTATTTTTTTAATCTCGTTTAAAACGAATTTCCACTACTGCTTCTTGATTTCATAAAGGAGGTTCGTGCACCTTTTCATAGCCACTTTTTTTTCTCAAAGGCGTTGCTTATCTTGTTCCGTTAAGAAGAAAACTCACACACCGGCACATACACGCACGCTAGGAACTGCGTTTGAAATGCGTAAGTGCTTAAGCCTTCCTTTTTATTTTATTTTCGTTATCCGTTTTTTTCTCTCTTTTTCATTTCATTTCTTCCCTTTTTGCCTGTTGTTCAAAATTAATAGGGAGCAACAACGCATACAAAGCAAAGCAAGCAAGTAAGCACCAACGCGTTTTTCATGCAATTGACCACACAAAGCACACACACTCAATACGCACACAAGCACACATACACACACACACATAGTCCACATTTTGTTGTAATGTATATGAAGAAGATCACTTCACGCTTGTCATTCGCCTGACTTTTTATTCTTAGTCCACTTCCTTTTGCTGGCAATTGATCATTGAATGATCATCTTTTTGCCGTTTTGAATGGTGATTGTTCATCCTTTCGTCATCACAACAACAAAAAGGGCCTGTTTGTTCTGATTTAGACAACTTGATTTGTTCGTCAATCAGTAACTTTTTCTTCTTTTGACGAGTGATCGTCAATTGGGAGCAGGCAAAAAAAAGAACACAAATCAAACACAAAACACTCAAAAAAGGGAAAAGGGACACTGCAAAAACTTGGTTCTTCACTGTTTCTGATCTTTTTGGATGCTGTGGTGAACATTCTGCATTCAAACCAATCACACAAGATCATCAAACAGTCTTTGGCACATCATTCGCTTGTTGCTTGTCAATCTCCCAAGAAAAAACGTTGCGTCCAAGCATCCTTCACTTATTCTCCTTGCTACAAATAAGCAAAGCAACTATCAAATACCCGCCAGAGCTCAAACAATTCGTCTTGGCACCATCAAAAAGTTCGATTTCGAACAATCTTAACGACCTGCATCTTTTCTCTCTCTGTTTCTTCTCTTCTTCTGCAAATAACACTCGCATCTCTTTGTCCTCTACTCCACTTCAAGTCATTTCATCTATTCAGAACATCATTACACAAAACACATGGAACAAGGTCAAGATAATTAGAGTGGAATTGGATTCTGTTCCCTGCGCAAGAGCTGTAGGCGATTTGCCATTCGCGTCATCCCAAAAGCCCGTCAAAAAGTTTAAGAGATGCCTCTAACGAGAAATCAACAAGCTGCATTGCAGGCAAATGGAAGCAATGGTGGAACGAATAACATCATTCAGCAACAGCAACAACATGTCCATACTTCAGACGGTAATCTTGGCAGCATACCCGGCAACGAAGAGTCTACAGTACATGCACCTTCTACCCCTGTTGGCATTCAATTGAAATCCAGGAATAGCAGTACAAATACAACGACCAGCTTATCCACTTCATCAGGTCCATCGCAAACGCACCAACAGCATCAAGAATTAGCATGTGTCTTGGGTCATCCTTCGGCTACAAGCGCTGTCAATAGTGCTGCTGCCGCGGCAGCTGCAGCATCTGATTGGGTTAATTTCGGACAAGGCTCCGCTTTGACTGATGATGTATTCACGCAAGAGCACGGTAATACTCTTTATAGGCTTTCGCAAATGCAACAGCAATTGTCTCCACAAAGATCATTTGATGACGCACAAAGACAACGGAACGGCGTTCAAGATTTGCATGCAAATAATACTATTCATTTGGCCAATAATGCTCTCTTTCAAAATACCAACTTCAATACAGATCCAAATGCTGCTGCTGCTGCCGCTGCGGCGGCTGCAGCTTCGGCAGCTGTCGAGCAACACAATCGACAGCGCAGTGATTCGACCAATATGAATGCTGGTTTTGCAACGCCTGCTCCTATGACCAGAGCACAATTACAGCAGCAGCACAACGATCACGTACGAACGTTTAGTCTTGACAGCAATGCAAGTCTCACGGATCCGAGAAACGCACAGCAAAGACGAGAATTTTCATCGCATCATCGTACGCCCGGATCTGTAGACTCTACCATGTCGATGGATATTGATAATATGGAGATATTGAGACAGGCCAATGAGGCACACATCATTGGTGCTTCACCTTTGCGAAGGGGCGTTGGACCAGATTCTGCGCAATCACGATTGCAGGTCATGACTCGTCAAAATCGCAGTCTTGGTCAAGTTGGTGCAGCAATGAGTGGAAATGGTGATGATGGCTTGCTTCGATTGGGCGGACCGCTTCGTGCGACTGATGCTTCTCCTTCATTTGACCGCTTTGGCGTACAACAGGCAGACTCTGCACGATCAATGTCGCCTCCTGAGCATCCGCATACTGCATTCCTTGGCAATTTCTCTCCAAATTCTTCCATCTCAAGCCATCGTCATGCTGGTGATTCATCGATCGATACATCTACGGATAGCGTTTCCAATAGTGCGACGACCATGTCTGCTGTTCCAAGTCAAGCCTCTTCCATTTCTGCTGACGATTTCTTGAGCAGTGGAGGTAAGAAGATCCCAAAGATGAAGACCAGATTACGCAATATTGACCGTAAAGCGATTTGCGAAGCTGCACGAGATGATCCAAAAGTGCGACAAGAAGATTTGGCAGTACGATTTGGAATCGAAAGAAGTACGGTGAGCAAGACGTTGAAGAATAAGGAAAAGTGGCTTGCCATTCAGGATGAAGGACAATCTGCCTTTATTATGAAACATAGAACGGGCAAGTTTCCCGATTTGGAAGGACGTTTGGCCAAATGGATCAATGATGAAGTAGGAAAGGCTGCGCCAATCTTGGACGTGACTATCAAGCATCGTGCTTTGGAAGTAGCAAAAGATCTTGGGATTGGTGTTGATCAATTCAAGGCATCTATGGGATGGATCGAAAAGTTCCGAGAAAGGCATAAGTTGCCAAAGCCTGTAGTTCCGGCCGGGTTGGAGAATTCAAGTGATCAATTAAGTCCTGAAGATGAGCAGAGCCGGGCAGAAGCGTTCCGATCTGGATTTGAATTAGCTACATCTCAGCAAGGGCAACATGCAGCGCAGTTTCAACAATCTCCATTGACCAATCAAATGGAACAAGATGTAGGAATGTTTTATTCGCCACAACCATCACAAACAAATGCTCTTCCAAATGCCTCTACCCCGCAAAGGCCACGTTCTGCTTCAAATGAGAACAATATGAATGCGATCCAAGAAACACCAAAGGCTTCCAAACGTCATTATGATGATATGGCCAATCACCGTGGAGCTTCACCTATTGATGCAACAATGGCACGAATGCACTTACCGAATCAAAATTTGGCAGTTTCCAGATTGCAGCGTGAGCAGACAGCAAGCAGTGGCACCAACAATGGTGTCCATCAGCACGATGATTCAGGATATGCAATGGCTACATCTTCGTCTTCATCATCCTCTTCCGCTGCTACTGGTGCTACGAAGAGGCGTAGAGGAGCGGCCACATCCGCTGAGCTTAGCAGGGGTGGGAGTGGCAATGGTAGCGCAGATGATGCAACAAATGAAGGAAACATTTCCATGAACATGATCCGAGAACAATTGCGTAGAAGCAAGAACAATGGTCAAGTGTCAGGTAATAGTGCATTATCCCCACAAGCAAACAATCCTGTTGCTATTGCGACTGCTGCGGCTGTACAAGAACTTCGCCGTGATGAGCATGCGCGAAGTATGCATGAGCAAAGGTTGCAACAAGAACAGATGCAATCCCAAAGAGGGTTCCGGACTGGCAATCCAGATGGAACATCATCGGAAATGATGATGATGCAAGGTTTGCAACGTGCAGTGTCAAGTCCGACGATCAACCTTCGCAATACTATCAATGCTGCCCATCAAATGCAACAGCAACATCATCCGCATCACAACGATTCGCCATCCAGCATGATGGTAAGTCCGCCTTCTGTGCGACATGATTTGATGGGCTTGCTTCAGTCTACCAATTCATCCTCTTCTGGATCTCCAAGTGGAGCCGGAGGAGATGATCGTCCGGTTACGTTGGATGAAGCAAGAGAATCTTTGGACGTGGTCTTGGCTTTTATTACCCGACAACCATCTCAATTGAGCCCTAGTGATTATTTCGTTTTGGGTAATCTGCAAGGTCAATTGAATGCTCTGGCACAATCAAGTCAGGATTCAATGTTTTCCCCTGGCCACATGCAAACGCATCAAGCGCCACAGCAAATCCAAATGCCTGCTTCTCAGCAATCCCATCCAAATATGGCAGTATTGCAGCAGCAGCAACAACAAAACAACCATCAGTTCACACATGCAAGATCCATGTCTGCTCAACATCCTTCAAGCACAAACATGAATATGTTGGGTATCACGGGTGAAGATATTTCCATGGCGAACGATTTGAGACATCGGTAAGCCATGCGATCTTGCTTTGCGAACTTATTCAAGACAGTAAAGGTGCACATTTTTTTTCTCTATTTCTCTCTTTCCTCTCCTCTCAACACAAGAAATGATTCCCTCAGGTCGTGTGATCACGATCTGATTTGCATATTCACTGTTCATCGGTTCATCGTCGACGTTTTTGCATGGCATCAACAAATTTCCGTTTTTTCACAAACACACAAGTTTTCTCATTCGCACGCAAAAAGTACATTTGTCAATTTCAATATTACCCACCGCATTTTTTCTCTGACTCTGACACAAATTGATTCGTCCAAAGAATCTCAAAAATTTCATACAGGTATTTCAGTTTTTCTTCTTCTGCAAAAGGCCTGGTTTGCATCAACTTTCAATCGTCAAAGGTTGATCGAAATTATATACAGTATATACATATTCAAACTCTCTTTTTTTATCTGCACATATACACATTTATATTCTTATATCCATATCAAATCGAAACAAATTTCAATGTAGTCTTGCTTTGAGATGAGATGATGGATTGCTTGCGGTAGAAGAGATGTATGGTGTTTACTCGATGCCAGCAGTTGAATCGGACGTTCGACGAATTTGCTCCAATTTATGGGTAAGATGCAATTGCGTTTTCAATTGAGAAAGTTGAGTGGCTCTTTCTGCAATTGAAGAATAAGAAGACGTACATGTCTGTTGTTCCTCTTGATCGCCGATTGGATTGCACGAAAAGTTTGCAAGCATTGAATTGTTTTGATCAATCATTGAAGATGAAATTGAATTTTCAGGTGAATTTGGAGGAGGATAATTACCTTGTCCACCGCCAAAAAAAGAAGACGAAGATGGAATGCTTGTTGAAGAAGAAGTGGCAAAAGAGCTATCTGCATGTTCACTTTCATCATCTTTACTTCGAGATGGAGAAGAAAATAATGTTGCAACATGAGGAGCTGATTTTCTACCTCTCTTTCTTTGTTTGATCAATAATTCGTTTTGCATCTCTAACTCTTGTGGAGTGATGTGTGGTAAAGTACAATTCTCCATTTGTAATTTTGACATCAAACTTGTCATCGTTGTTCCTCCAACTCCCACAAATGTATTACATGGACTCGTTGGTGGAGCACGAAAGCCGGTGGCAAGTTCGACATTTTGCAACGTATCAAATTCAAACTTTGTAGGAATGATGACTGTATTGGAAGAGGAAGCAATGTTTGGCTTAGATTGATCATCGAGATCGGTTTTGGTCGCCATCTTTGGAGGAACAGCTGTCAAGGAAAGGTATGAAAAGGTGAAAGAGGCTTTATTTGCCAGTTGACATATCCCAAATGGATCTTGCATTTGATTTCATGCGCAGCGCCACTTGTCTGTCTGTCTTTCAATTGCACGCAACCTTTTATCCCGTCCTTTCATCTTCAGCAGTGATATGTAACACACACAGATGGCGTACGCAATGCGTTCAAAGACGGAGCCGAAAGTTGAAATGAATGAATGCATTGTCCCGCCCATTTCAGCTCAGAGCTGCCGCATGCTAGACAACTCCAAGTCGTCATCTTTGTCTCATTTTGATTCCTACAGCAACCAATCTAAAGGTCCAGGCCATCAGCTTTCCCCTCCTTTAGTCTTTGTCGCTGCTGCATACATTCGGATCCGCAAAATGAGGCTTGACTGACGTGATCATAACAAACGCCCAATATATCCCGCCCTCTCCGATCACACAAATGCACACACACAAGATCTTGCATTATCGGGCGGCTGTGCAGAAGACACAAAGTTTGAAGTTGATTATAAATTAAGAAGGATTATAATAAAATACTAAAGTACAAAAATGGAAAAAAAAGTGACAAGATCGACTTATAGGTTTCCTGTTGTTTTTTTGGCATGCGTACAGCCCGCTTTGCTTTGTACTCATTACCTCCATCACCAACCTGTATGATGAAAATCTCCAGTATACGTCACACGTGAGGAAGAAGAATTCGGTTGTTGTGATGATCGATTGGCATTTGGATCAGGCACAGTACTCCTTTGCGTCAACGGACGGAGAGCATTGCCGCCCAAAACGGACTGAGTACGATGGAAAGTAGGATGACCTTGTTGACTTTGACTTTGCGAAAGCGGAGCAGAAGATGGCGTTGATTGCATTGGAGCAGATGTTGTTTGTGTTAATGGTGCAAATCCGGTAACATTACTTTCGTTCGATCGTCTTCGTTGTTGTTGTGCCTCAGCCGTGCTCTCATTTGCACCGACCGTAGTTGCAACTCGATTACCTCCAATACCCAACATTCGATTGCGACTTTGTCTTTCCCATAACAAGTTTTGACGTAAACTTTCTGAAAGTTCATCTTTCAGCATATTTCTTCTGGTCGTACGGGGAGATTGTGGTAATCCAACTTCCGGTACATTGACGGCAGATTTGGATCTTTGTGGCTTTCCACTTGCCGTTGCAATCGCTTGTATTGAAGGTGTTTCGTTTGGCTCAGACGTTCTACGATATTGAAGGATCATCTTTTCTTCATCAAATTCAGGTTGAACTTGAACGTCCAAGGATGAATGCGATGCTCGCTTACGTGATTCACCATCTCCGCTCATTCTGCGATCTTCAAGCTCACCACTTCCGCTGCCTCTTTGTTGTTGCTTCTTCTTTTGCTTCTTTTGGTTTTGACGTACACGTGCAAGTTCGTTCAATCTTTCGACAGCTTCGCTATTGGTTTGACGTGGAGAGACGTTCTCTGTGTTGTTATTCATACGATCGCTAATCGAACTTTCACCGCTACTGTCATCCTCAAATACAGCCACATGACGAGAAGTGCCTTGAGCTTCCTTTCTTGAGATGCTGGTGGAAGAGCGACTTCCCAACGTGCTCAAGACAGGCAAAGCGACAGCAGATTTGCTCATCTTCAAACCAGCATTGTTCGCATGCGCACCAAACGAAGGAGGTCTTGGAATCGCAGTCGTTTGAACATTCGATTTACCATTCTTGGCAAAATGGCCTGCTTGTTGTGCGATCTCTGATCCTTCATGACTTGTCTTGCGTACCTTTTTCTTTTCGGAACTTTGTTCACCTTGGATACGCAAATCAGCCGCACTTGCATGCGACTTTCTACGTGCAAGATCGTCATCATTGGTAGGATGGAAGATCGTACTCAAAAGACTGCGAATCGGTGGTGGAGCAGGAGAAGTGCTATAGGCTGCTTCCGATTTTGGCTCAGAATGTTCAGCACTGTGGCTTCCAGGTGCCAAAAGGTTGATATCAGCAGCACTTTGCGATCGAACAGGAATCTTCTTGAACATGTTCTCCAATCGTTCTTTCTCGGCTCGCTTACGATTTTCAACCGATCGCTTACGTTCTTCTTCCGAGTCAGTAGAAGAATCGCTTGCCCATTCATCAGAGTTATCACTTGGCACCTCAATTTGCACTTTTGTGTTTTTCGAACTTCCTGCAACTTCTTCTGAAGCTTGCTTTTCGGATGCAACGGAGCTGTAATCGTCATCGCTATCTCCTTCCATGCTGCCCATGGTAAATTTGACCGGTTGGCGTTTCTGCTTTGGTTGTTCATTTGCATTGTCAGCAAGTGAAGTGCTTTTGCCAGCCTCGGAGAGATCTTTGCTGATACTTGCAATGCGAACATGACCGCGTGCTTTGCCTTGACCAGTCTTACGTTGGAGATTAAGAGCAGATTTGGTTCGAATAGTGCCAGATGTATTTCTAGTATGATGGGCAGGATGATGAGCTCGGGATCCACTAGGCTTACGAAGACCTTCGACGCTACCGCTGGAGGATGTTGGGTGCAAATTTTTCACGCGTTGTACTGGAGAACGAAGGGCGGCCTCTTCTTTGGATTTGGACGGTGCGATCTTGGGATGAGAGGACGATTCACTTTCCAAGCTGTGCTCGCTACCTTCATAACTAGCAGCTCCAACGAAAAAGCGGGATTGAGTAGGTTCTCTTGGCTTTGGAGATTCTTTTGCTTCCTCGCGTTCATCAAGGATAGAAACACGACGGACAGGCTTCCTCGAAACGGAAAGTGGATCAACCTTTTGTGGTGTAGAAGGTTGACTGAATTCAGCAGGTGCACTATTTTGCGGTATCTGTTCCGCAATTGTTGCATCTGAGCTTTCCAAATCTTCCCTTTCTTCCATCAAGCGGGAAGAGGTAGAGGGCAATCTAGATTCGTCAATACTTCTTGGCAGACTTGCTGTGCTTGCGCTTCCCACTCTACCTTTGAAGTCATTCTCACGATCTAGCAACAAGCTCTCGATAGCCTGTTGGAAGCTTAAAGGTCTTCGTCTTCTTTGCATATTGTGTTGCTTCACTCGAGCTCGACTTCCAAAAGCAGAAGAGGAGGAAATGGCACGTCTTCGATCTCCTGAATGCGTTATGGAGACATTGCTACTTGCATTGTTTGATCTAAGCTCCTTTTCATTCTGTTGTTGCTGATTCAGGATCGTTTCACGAGCCAAAGGGGAGGTAACAGATTTGGGCGAAGTGAAAGAGCGCATTGCTTGATTGGACGATGAAGCAACTTGCGATGGACGCATTTGTGCTCTTCCTCGTGAATTGGACGGAGATGCTACCTCTTGACTCTGCAATGCCTCAGATTCATCATCGTCATCGCTGCTCCAGCCTTCACTTTCCTCTGGATCCGATAGGTCTCCCGACAAGGCTTTTGAAGTACTTGCATTTCCATGAGTGGAAGCTGCCATTGCCATAGAAGCGGCCTGTAAAGCTCTGGAAGTAAAGGAAGAGCTGGGTTGATGAGGCACAAAAGGTGTCATAGACCGCGTTGAAGGTTGATAAGATCCTGCCATGCTACTTCTTCTACTCATTAGAGGTGTATCCAAAGGAGTAAAATCGGTCAAATCGGACAAAGAAGTATCAGGTGGCAATAGATGTGCTTCCCTAAACCATAATCGCCAAGAAAGGTTTTCCAATCGTCTGCCAGACTCAATCGATTCTTTGCACTTGGTAAACACATTCCATAAATTGGCCAATTGATCCACATCCGCCGTATTGAGCTTTTGCAAGCTTGCCATCGACAAAGCCAAAACGGGATCCGGAAGTGTGATAGGCATCTTTGATGGATGGAAAAGGTTTGGTCAAGATTGAAAGACGGAAATGATGTTGGTCTTTATTGAAGCAAATTTGACGATGACCGAAAATAGAGGTGGCGCAAGAGGCAAAAAGATACAAAAGCAGAGGGAGAGGGAGAAACGCCGATTTGTGTAGTAATGCGGTGCGGGGTAGTTTTGAAAAGGAAAAAAGAAAGGGCGTTGACGAAATTGGAAAAGGATATTATGTGTTGTTGCAAAGAGGAGCCCCGCGTGGGGTAAAAAGAGACAGAGAGAGAGAGGGCGATTGTTTCGGCTGAATGAAATCCTGGAAATTAGCAGGCCGTTATTCTCTCTTCAAAACCCCAACATCCAATAATCGCGGATAGAATTGAAGAAAAATGAGACCACGTTCCGTTGTAAAACGCAAATGAATAACGTTGTTTTGTGATTTTATAGATGATTAATCTCGTACGATATAGGTTGATGATCGGATGATTTGTCCGTTTATTTTAGGGGTTGTTCATCACTTAATCGAATAAGTGATGTTCCTCAAACGATTGATGGTGGTCGTTGATGAAAGGTTGAATCTCCTTCAATACTCAATTATGGGTGAATGAAGTGAGACAAGATGAGGAATGCGGGGAAAGATATGAGTTGTAGCAAGATGAGCAAGTAACACAACCATCAATATCTGGTCTATCGGCTTGATCGCGTATGAAAAAAGAGAAAAAGAGCAAAAACCGGCTGTTTCCATTCTATTGCTGTGTAAGACTGATCTTGTGCGTGTACCTAGTTTACCGATTTCCACAAAAGAAGCAGACTAAACACATGCTAAATTGGTCAGCCGTACTAGCCAAGTGCGTAAATGCTGAAAAAGCCGGCAAAATAAATACCCATGCAGAAACCGATATTTGACCGAGACGACGCGTTTGTGTTAAGCAATACCCCCACTCTAGGCTGTGGAGAAAAACGGAAAGGGCTACACAAGTTGAAAACACAATCCATCCGGACATCTGGACCGGTGTTCTTTTGTATTATTGTTTCACTCACGTATTCAAGCACCTAATCACTCTTCCCCATATTCGGAGATGTTGTTTGCGACACATGTATGCCGCTTGAGCTTATTCACCTGTCATTCATATCCTATCAGATGAATTAACTCGCTCTGCTTTCGGTTGCTATACATAAAATGCATTGGATGAATAATAGCCTGACAACATACCTCTATGAGACAAGGAGTTGGAATGGATGAATGGATTTGTCATATCTATTTTATTATTTGTTTCCGGAGAATAAGCAAAAGACATACCTCAAAATATATGAAACAATACCCCGCGTTGATGTTAGTTGTTGCTACTTGTTGCGGTGAATGTGATAAAAGCAGTAGCGCATCTTTTCTCCCGATCCGAATACATTTTCATAAGAAAGTCGGACCGGTTTGATATTGCACGCGTTCACAATTATCTCGCCACTTTTGCACCCCGGCCAAACACACACACACATCACCGGCCAGCGTGCAAGGTACTATACAACGGCTTTCTTGACGTGTGACATTTCTCCGACTTGACGTTCGGCAATCTCTTTAAGCAGCCACAATAATGCCCTTTACTAATATACGTACCTCATCTAAGTTCTCCGAATAAGATATTAACTTAAGCATGAATATATACTAGCGGGTGGTGATCTAAGTCTAAAGAAAGACGCTGATCTCTATTTTTGGTAGCAACTTGCCTTATATTTATGTGATGCTCGGTAATTTGATCATCATATATAGAAGCATTATCAGGCTGGCACCTCTAGGGCTGACGGAGTGATGCTGTCTTTAATTCGATATACAAGTGTTTACAGAAGGGCTTTGATCATACACTATAGATGACAAAAGGGGTTTAATCTGTCTCTTCATTCCGTTTTTAGCCGTCTTACTCGGCCCTTCTTTTGTTTGCTTGGTCATTAGAGCATTACCTTCAGTCGACGGCGCTGTCGAAGTGCTTCTAGGGCGCATTTATTCGGTTTTTCTCTATATAGTTGAGTTCAGCTACTCTTGGTTTTCAAATTTCGTTAAATTGAAGTAAAGTTTGGTAAGAGAAGAACGATGTAACGAATTGGAAGATTGTGGTTGTTCAAGAACAAGAAGGAACCTGAAATTCGCATAGATACAACTTTATCAAGATAATTTGGGCTGAATTATTCACGGAGAGTGCAATCAATTGCCATCGACTCTGTCGCGAATATGCTGAGCCTTATACGAAGTGGTGCGAGAGGTTGAACTTGAAATTTGTGTCCGTGCGCGTTTCGAAATTGCAATGATGGAACTGTATACATACACCACGTGTACGTGTTTCTAAACATGACAACCGATCTTCTCTTTATCACCTTTTCATAACCAAATCATCACGATGGACTTCGAATCGGAAGAATACGAAACGGTATTGTATGTAGCACGAGAATGTTACGTATACAAAATTCCACCAAGAAGTTCAACGGCCGGTTATAGAGCGGCAGAATGGGGAGATATGGAAGCATTTTTATGGAAAGGTAGATTACGTATAATTGAACATGGCCAAAAGTGTTCAATAAGGCTGGAAGATGGAAATTCAGGAGAACTTTTCGCTCTTTGTCCTTATGATATTTCCGGTCAATCTGTTGAATCCGTTTTGGATTCTTCACGTTATTTTGTACTTAGAGTTGAAAGTGAAGACGCTCAAGCATCTTCTGATACAACCAAGAAAAAGAGAGCGTTTATCGGAATGGGCTTTCAAGATAGAAGTGAATCGTTTGATTTTAATGTTGCTTTACAAGATTGGACAAAACGTGCAAAAGCAGCCAAAGAAGCAAAAGACAAACCACAATCTTCATCTTCAGCCGAAGGAGATCTTGTCGGCACAACAAACGAACCATCACCACATATACCTGCAGGACCAAAGCAAGATTATAGCTTAAAGGAAGGTCAGACATTCAGCATCCAGATTCCGGGTTCTCATGCTGGCAGAAAGATTCGCGATCAGACAAATTCAGGATCTTCTGGGTTGTCAGGCTTTGGAGGCGGTTCACTTCTTCCGCCTCCTCCTAGCAAGAGAAATTGAACTCGTTTTGCATTTACACTGTACTATCACTACCACAACTTAATGACTCACACATGCTCGCATCATCGTTTACAGAGTAATTCATATTGATGACATTGATAGGCGCGGATATTCTCGTCCATTGCTTTAGACAACAAAACGGACCGCCTTGAAAGTGATAATACACATGTTTGTTGGATTCTATGATAGGGGTGAATGAACATGCCTTTGTCGTCTTTATGACGACGGGAATCATTGATGGGGGGATACTTTTTCATTGCTTTTGATTAGCGGTTCTGGGTTACTCCTTATCCTGCCCGAAGCCTGATGTACAATTTTGAAGAAGCCCGATGCCAAAAGTCAAATGATGCTTGCGATCGAGAACTTGTTTTACGATGCTATTGCGAAGATATGTTGCTTATACCACATTTGTCGAAGAGCGAGAACGAAGGATGAAAGTCTCCAAACTTTTCTTAAACACTTTTGTTTCTTGCTTTTGCAATGCCAAGACAAACTCATTTGCCAATTCGGAAGGACAATTGATGGAAGGGAAATATGCCGTCAAGAGCATATCAACGAATTCTTGACCTCGTTTTTGATATATTGCCTTTGCCAAACTGCATAATTCCGTTAATGCGATTTGACTTTGTGCATCGTTGAAATCAAAAGAAGGTTTGCTTGGAATCTCAAAGATCAAACCGACAAAAGTGCTGTAAACAAACTGCTCAAATCCAGGCAAAGGTAAACGAGGCGTTGCAATTTGAGCATTGGCAGCATTTCCGTTTCCATTTGCGGTGGGTAAAGTTGGAGAGTCTCCTGGACCGCTCGATGTGATCTTCTCCAACCATAATGTCACCAAGCGGGTCATTATATTGGCAATAATGCGAACCGTAGCAGGTGGACTGTTTGTTGCATAGAAGACCAATGATTGCAAAACGGTTTCAAGCTTGCTTTGATTATGGTCTGAACGTAAAACCTCATCCAAACCCGCACCGATCAAAGTGGACAAGAATGTCACATATCCTCTAATCAACTGTTCACGCGTGACAATGTCATCTGTTCCACTTACATCTTGATTCAAGAAGTAGAAAGTGCGGTCCAGAAGCGAGCCCAACATCTCGTCCATAACTGAAGCCAAGTCAGTCTTGTACTTTGCGGTGATCAGACCCAAAAAGCTGTAAAAGTCAAGCAGCTCGTTCTCACTCAATCGTGGCAATAAGATTTGCAAAAGTGATGGAACGTATGGCAATGCGATGAAGCCAGTGGTTGAGACCATTCGACTAAATGCCCCTCGAGCTGCATCTCGAATCACCTTGAAGCTGCTCAAGGCGCCTGTTTGTAAGGTTGTGAGCATTTGTTCGATAATCCCTTTGAACAACTCCATCCACGGTAACGTTTGTGCCGAGCTAGATGGCGAAATGTCTGGAAATCCTTTTGCTAGATTTGCCAATGCAAAGAAGAGATGATGAATTTGCAAGATCGCCTGCAAATTGTTCTCGTCTGCCAATCTTGCTTCAACAGCTTGACGGAATTGGTCTGAAAGAGGATCGATCAAAGCTTTCAACATCATCATTTGAGTGTCTGGTGTTTGACGCAACAGTTGCAATAAAACTCCGCAAGCCTCAAACAGATCCAACTGACGATCAAATACGGCCGACTTTTTCAATGCTTCTTCAAACGGATCTTCTCCTTGTCCTACGGGCACAATCTTTGCCGATACGACCAACACACTTCTCATACTTTCCAAAATTCCTTGCACATAGCTCGATTGAATATGTTCACGAGTCTCTTTGATGAATCGAAGGAAAAGATAATCCGTTCGACAGCGTACACTTTTGCTCTCGTTGTGGATTCCACGCCAATCAAGGAAAGGCGTCAAAGCATCTGCCAACATTTCTGGACGTACAGAGAAGAAGGCAGCATAACGAACTGAACAATCGAAGTATTGCATTTGCACGGCTGAGTGTCGATATGCAGAAATCTTTGACTCGTAAAAACGTTGAATCACTTCACCCAACTGATTCAAAGTGAGGGAGAGCAAGAATCCTTCTGGTGGTTTGTTACGCACCGATTTGGGAGTGTTGGCCGGTAAGCTGACAAACGACATTGGCCCAACAGCCGCTTTGGGTTGGGCATTACTGGTGGTGAGAATCTCGCCGACAAAGTAGACTGCAAATAATGCCAGCTCGGCCCGCTGCCAAGATACTTCTGGCCCTGTATTGTTCAAGAATGCATCACATGCATTCAAGGTCTCATAAATGAGGTTGATCGTTGGCGTGCTGAACAAGTTTTCATCAATGCCAGCAATGGAAGCGGCATGTTGCTGTAACTGTTTTCGTAATTGAATGAATTTTGCTGTTTCATCGTCATCATCCTCGTCTTCTTCTTCGTCATGCGTGCCTTTCCATTCCGAATCTTCATCGAACTTCATCTTGATCAAGATAATACCCATCAGCCTTGATAATAAGTTCGACTTTTCCGCGGTCAGGGCGCCTTGCGTGGCTGGCAAACCAGTTGCCTGTGCTTGTGCAATGCTGCTTTGTCTTTGTAATCTTTTGTAGATTGTCAAAACGACACCAATGCATGGCAAAACGTGATCTGCCATTTCGTCATATTCATCTGTCAAGAAATCCAACACAAGATGCATATGGCTCAAAAGCATTCCATCAGCTTCAGATCTCATATCCGAAGGTGCAGAACCATCTTCGACAACTTTTGCAATCTCAATCGCAACTGCATTTGTCAGTTTAGCCAAATGCTCGCGAAAGATGACCTCTTCGTCAGGCAGTTCGTTTACACCTTCTGGCTTGCGTGTTTTGCGTTCCAAATCACCCACCATGGTCGTCAGATTCAAAATGCGCAACAAAGTCATCTTATCGGGCGATTTCATACCTTTTGATACGATCCCGTTCAGTGCGTCTGATGCTGCTGAACGAATGCTTGGATTGTTATCTTGTAATAGGCGACAGAGTAAATCGACAGTATCAGGCGTAACTACCAAGCCAATATCGATCCATGAAGCATAATCGCCAATCACTTCACATGCACCACACGTAATTTCGACTGCTTTCATCATGCTCCATCCTTGTCCGTCAGTCGAGGAAGCAGGTGCAGATGCAAGTTCTTGTGTTTTGGCAAAGCTTTCCTCGATCACTTTCCAGACAGCATCGGCGATCCCTGTTGCTTGTGAATTACGAATTTCATCTCGAATCGCAGTATCACGAGCAACACGCTCTCTTGATCGTACGGCACGCAAAGTGGCATCTGAGCCCAAATTAACGCTGATTTCATGCAATAATCGAAGTACCATATCTGTCGATGTTGGATTCAAAGCTGAAGAGGAGGATGCATTATGCGTGCGCATTCGTCCGACAAGATCAGGCAGCAAAGTGAAAGGAGGCGGCAGACCATACGTTTGCACCAAAAGACAAGACAAAAATTGAGCAAATTTGTTTTTGACGTAAGCTGTTCCATCTTCACCTGTGCCACCGATGTATTCTTCATCAAAGTGTTTCAACGCTGCGGCTTGGAGAAAAGCAACAGCTTGAGAAGGATCACTTCCGGTGGTGATCTTGTTTTCCAAATAATCAGTCACCAAAGTTAAAGCGAAAATTCTTTGTTGATGTGAATGAAGTGGCCTTTGTGTTTCCTCTGAACGAGCTGCAAATATATTCCAACATGGTGACCAAACTTCTTGTGAGTTAAGCTTTACCTGTTCAAGGAATGACAATGCATCTTGAACGATATTTGGATTTTGACCAGCGGGTGAAGATGCAATTTGCACAGCTTGTAATAATTGCTCTTCCATCTTTGACATGTGATGGTAATGAAGGTGAAAGTTCAATCACTTACTTGCTCTGCTTTTGCTTTCACCCCCCGCGAATTTCCTGCCTTTTGATTGTGATTAGAGATTATGCGTGTGCCATTGGAGAAAAGAGTAAAGTTTGGAGAGATTGTTTGAGTGTATTTGATGATGGTTGTAATCTGTTGCCAAACAGACAGCCATCTCCAAACTTCCTACAGTAAGCGAAAGGTGAAGAAGAAGTGAAAAAAATGCACACTGCACGCGAATGGAAAAGTGCTCTAATGCAAGCTCCGCTTTAACCAGGCTAATAAAAAATAAAAAAAGGGCGTTTGAGCTTTAAAATTTGCGCATTAAAACGCGTCCTCCCGGAATCCGAAGGTGTTGTTCTGCTGCTTAAAGCATGTGACAAAAACAGCGGATTGGGATCGTGTCGTGTGGTGCTGTACGCATATCACGCTCATAATGCATAACCTGCCGCACGCCCTGCATGGTTGCATGGAGAAGGTACCATGACATGTCAGATGGAGTTGTGTCATTAAATAGAAAGTAGTGTTCATACATTATCGTTTCATTAAATACAAGCATCATAATTCATCGCCACTTCCACGATACCAATTAAGCCAATTAGGTAAAGATGAAGTAGTCGCTCCTCCAGCTTGACCGGAAGACTGTCTCACACCAAAACCTCCAGCCCTGCTCAACGATGAAGATATTTGCGACCATCCTGCCGCTCCAACGCCTGACCATCCATGACCAAATTCTCTTTGTCTCGTTGCCAAAGGCATTCGTAATCCAACAATAAAGACTGCCGTTCCACCTCCGATCAAGGTTAAACCGATATAGATAAACCATCTATTTCGTAATAATCCCATCAATCTACCTTCACCTCTTGCACCTTCTGGCATTGCACTTCTTGGATCTTGAGCGACAGTACAAATGATACCAAAGACATCTGCTAGCTCATTCAACTTTACACTAACATGAATTGGTCCTGCACTATTCATCTGTCCAAATCCAACGCCTGCTCCTCCTAATCCACTACTGATACTTATATCCCCCATGCCTAATCCACTTGATCCGGCACTACTGCCCGAAGAAGGAGGAATCCTTAGACCCAATTTACTGCAATACACTTCCGGTTGAACTTCATGTCTTTGTTGAACCAAATCCAAATCGGCTTTTGTAGCCAAAAATAATGAAGGTAAATGAAGTAAATGTGGATATTGTTGACGCAAGTTGGAAATATACGAAAACGAATTCGTATCGCTTGAATCATACACAAACACAAGTACATCGGCCGCATGTAGTTTCTTGGAACTTCGTAAAGCTTCTGCTTCGTACCGCGATCCGAATTCTTGTAAGACCAGATATTTCTCCGCTCCAGATTGTTCGATCGCGCTCACCACGCTCAATACCTTTCCCGTCGGTGTATAGCGTTCCTCCCATCCTTTTCCAACCATATGCCGTAGCAATGCCGTCTTTCCACATCCTGCAGCACCCAGAACATAAGCCAAAAAGACATTTCTCTGTGCTCCCTTCTTTTTCTTGTCTTGCTTTTTTGGCTGTCCTTTCTTGGTCAACTTTAATGCTCCGGTCGTACAAGCAGGCTGAGGTGCTTTCTTAGTCGGTGAACCACGATCTTTGCCGTTTGTCGGAGGCGATTGTCGAAATGCTGTTGACTTTGGTGTAGCGGTCGTTCCATTCAGTCCGATAGCGCCTTCCGATCCGATCAGGCTGGGGTAGCCAAGATAAGCCAGATAAGCCAATGTGGTAGGATAATCGAGCAAAGTTGTCATACTCCATTGGGCAAGCCATCCTTGCAAGGTGACTGCATTATGTTCATCCGTGATTGTTGTATCGGGAAAATCAGTTTCTTCCCATGGATTTTTTCCATCAGGTGCGGTCAAGAACAAATTTGCCATTTCCGTACTGCTCAATGCTCCATCTCGATCTTTGTCATGCGCCTCAAAGATGTCGGTAAGGAATTGATATCCATGCGGACTTAATTCTACACTGCAATCTGCCGGTACGTGGAAAGGTGGCTTTACGAAGCTGTCTTCCAGAGTGAGGTCAGAGCCATATCCGAATGTGCGAAGTACAGTCCATGTCGTCTCTAGCCTTCCACGTTGAATGAAAAGGGTGTGTAGATATAGAAATCCTGACAGCGTTAGACCGCCATCTCGCAAATGAGGATGAGCGCTTGGACTTCTTTTTGTGGGTGAATGCCGTCCGTTGGGTGTTGCCAGTCCGCCTGTGGTGCTTGATTGGCTTCCTGATGCGCTGAGATGATCGTACGGGAAGCGAGAGCCAGATATAGGAGCGGAAAGGACGAGATCTTTGATTCCTTCAAGTTCTTGTGCTTGTAGTGGAGCATCAAAGCATCTTCTTTGGAAATCATTTAATTCTGCATCGCTCAAAATTCCATCTTTATCGCTATCGCAAAGTCTGAATATCCTTCGAAGTGCATCAACACATGCAGGTTTGAGAGCATGTTGCCTTGAATCGTAAAGGGGTGCGGTTGGATATAAGACTGCCTTTTGAGCAAAGTAAAATACCTCGCTCACGTTTAGAGGTATCTTTGCACTACATTCTACACACGTTTCCACTTCTTTGAATTCTGCCATTACAGGAGCCAATTCTTCTTCCAAGGCGGCATTCGTCACTTCTCCCGAACGTAAATCGATCTTATTCCCAACCAAGATTACCGGTCTATTGACGCCTAAAGATCGTATGAACGGTAACCAATACGTTGGTATCCGATCAAAAGAAGAAGAAGCCGAGATTGCATAAACCAAACAAATCACCGAAGCTCTACGTAATTCCGTTTCTAAATGTAGTCTTCTATCGGGCGTTGAACTTGTATCAACAATCTTGGTTACTACTCCTTCGGGTGCCACTTCAGGCGGTAGTGTGATCTCAGGCACTACTTGTTGTACCCTACTCACGAATTCTTCTTTTATCAAACTTGTTATTAATGTTGATTTTCCAACATCATCATCGCCCGCGATAACGATCCGTACATCTCTTCTCATCTTTGCGGCGAATATATTAGATGGCGATGAGAAAAAAAGAAGGATTGATGAGAGGGTGTGATTGATTGATTGATGAAAAGCCTATTTTATTGCATTAAAGCGCTAAACACTCACAAGCATACACGCGTCTTTCTCATACGAACATACCTCGGCCCACACAACACGCGTATTCTCTAGGGTGATCAAATTGCATTCAAGACAAGCATGTATAGCGATAAACAAAGAATGAAAGGGGGCAATTAAAAGAATGTATAAATATAACAGGGGTTTTTTAATGATCAATCGGATGAATGACCTGAGGATATGCTTGACGTAAGGCTTCGAAAAGTTCAGGATCCTTTTGTGCAATCACGGCTGGATCTTCTGCAAGACAAACAAACATTGTAGTACATCCTGTTCCGATCGATCCTGATCCTAACGATAGAGCAATGTTCAAGCCTAAACCAATAGCGAAGAAGATAATCACTGAGAAATAACTTGAATCATTTTGAACGTATTGAGGGTTGCTGATTGAGAGGTAGGCATACGCAAAGATACCGCATCCCAATCCGATCGCATATGATCCAAAGACCCAGACATTGTTGATCAAACTGTCATTGATCAATGCATCGATACCTTTCTGCTTCACCAATTGCCATGTTTCTTTGCTTGCTGTGATGAAACTGTTACCATACAGTGCAATATTGGTGTAGGCTAATCTGTTGAAGAAGGTGATCAACCAATCAATACATCCGATAATACAGCCCGCAACACAAGACAATGCGAAGCCCACCATATCGCCTTGACTCGCTTCTTGTTGTTGTACTTGATAGACGATCGCACGAATGATATCCAAGATGGCCAAAATAAGCGATCCAAAGCAGAGAGAGCCGAACGAATAGGTCAAACATCTACGTAAACTGCTCAATGCAACATGACGTGGATCAGGTCCTTGATTATAGTACCAAACACCAAAGATTCCTGCAACTGAAGTATAAGCAACAGCTTTGATCACTTCACTTGTCCAATAATAAGCAAATACAACCAAAACAACCAATCCGGTAACAGCGCCTGAACTTGCTCCACTTCCTGCTGCGCTTCCATCAGGACTGAAACGTTGATAAACAGCAACCAAAGTCCAAGTTGCCCAAACGGAAAATGCGGTTTGAACGACAAGGAAAGAGAGTGCCATAACATAAGTAGATTTGTAATGATCAGCAGCACGAATGACGCTAATCAAGATAATCTTTGCCAATGGGATACGCTTTCTCATGAACCAATAAGCCAAAATACCAATCACAGCAAAGATTGTCATGATGATAGCACCGGCAGTTTGACCTTTTACCCAAAGGTAAACACAATAAGCAATCGTTGTCAAAACCGAAAGTGCCAAAGTTGCTTCCAAGATAATTTTTGGGAATGTACGAACGAGGAAGATGTATAAAACGCTGAGGACCAAAGCCAAAGCGCTACTGAACATCAAAATGACGGCAGTTTGACCGTTAAGTGTTTTACTTATTCCGCCTGCGGTTGAAACGGAATTTGAACTTGAATTTGAGAAACCATAAATTGAAATCACACTTACGGCCACAAAACCGCCAAAAACACAAATGAACAGAATTGCAAAAGGTATATCGTTAAATTTTGGTTTACTAGGTTCAAATCTTTGACCTTGATAATTATCCGGCTTTAAAGCCATCTTATCATCTCCTCCTTGATAATAACCTTGTTGTGGTGCACCTCCTGGCTGTTGTTGTTGATTGTAGTATTGGTTTTGATCACCACCTTGATAAGGTGCTTGTTGCGCATAGGGCGCACCCTGTTGCATGCCATACGACATGATGAATAGAGAAAGAGATGGTGGAAGTGAATGACAATGAATGAAGAAGGGGATTGGGGTTTCCTTAAACAGGAGTTTGTATGAATTGGGTTAGCGGTTGTATTAGAAAAGTGTCAATATTGTTGTGTGTGTGGCTTGGCATCTCAACAGTAGAAAGCGCGCTTTGTTTTGATAGTGATCTACGCATGTGAAAAAATACTAAAAAACTACCCGAGCAGAGAATGCAATCCAATTAGCGTGAATTCATGCAGGCGCCGTCGTATCGATGCACTTTGTTAGAGGCAATAGAAGAGTGACACAATTCACCCTCTGTAGATCTTACAACACATTGCAGTATGTCACCGAAAGCAGAAGGAAGATTATTTCTCGACGCTAGTAAGCTCGCTTCACGCGATCGCACTGCCAAGGCTGTCAATTCCGGCGGTAAAATAAAAACATATATTCGACTTACATAATCTTATTGTTACGTTTTGTAGTCTCCAGGCACTGCTTTCTGAATAATAATAATAAATTTGTGAGGTAGAGAAAGGTGGGTAGAATTTACATGTGATATGAGACTATTTATAATTGACAAATGGGCTAATTATGGGTACCAAGACTGTGGTTCGTCAGCCTTTATGGCGGAACAGGCGTTAAGGCGTGATACGGCGTGATACGGCAAGTGACGCCTGTACACGTGCCAGGCGTACCGTATACGTTATATCCTAATACCCCTCCTTGTAACGAAGGTTGATAAATCCGTTAATTTAAAGATAATAAATGTAAAGATAAAGAGAATTATTAAAGATCGAGAGGTTTCGTTAAAGTATCGGTTAATTAAGCTGTCGTATAAATTAGTTATAGTTTAATTATATTTATATTAATGTAATAATAAATAAAATAAAAATAAATATTAATATATCGTATATATTAAGTAGCTAAATAACCGGTGGTAATAGTATAAGCTACTTGATTATTAATAAATAATAAAATTAGTAGATTCGTCTCGATTTGTAAGTATTTTATAAGATCGAGAATAATAATAATATAAGTTATAATAAGAGTTATTATAATATACTTTACTTTAGTAGAAGAAAGTATAATAATCGACTATTTTTATGATTTCTAATTAATTAATATATCTTTATAGTATAAAATAATATTAGTGGTAGAATATATAGAAGAATCTTTAGTCTAATTACTATTAGAATAAGCTAATAAGATAGGATTTAGTATATTATATTTATAATCGATATTAATTTTTAAAGATTAAATAAGATAGTATATAACTCGGTAAATAGTTTCTAAATAGTAAAGTTATAGTTTAATTAAAAATTATAAAAGTTAGTTAATAATAAAAGAAAGATCTAGGTATATATAAATATCTAGATAAATTAATTTTCTAATAATTAAATAATATTTTATATATTTATTTATTATTAAGATTTATAAAGTATTATTAAATAATCTTTTTATAGTTAAATAATTTATAAGGATTTAGATAGGAAGTATTTTCTAAGCTTCTATAAGAAATTAATTAATAATTAACTTTATATATTTTATTTAATAAATTTTAATAAAGTTATAAGTCTAAATTAATTAAATTCTTAAAATATAATATATTTATCTTTTATCTATTATCTTAAATATTTTAGTAAGATATAATTTAATTTATTTTAATATAATAATATTTATAATAAAAATTATTAAATTATCGATATAAAGTATAATAATCGAAATAATTTTTTTTAATCTATTATATTTTAAATATAAATTAAAATCTCTTTTAAAATATATAAAACTAATTTTATATAAGAAAGAATCGATTTTTAAATATTATTATTGTCTTATTTACTTTAAATTATAAAGTAATTTTTAAAATAAATAATATTTATTTTTTAATATAAGATTATTATTAATATTTAATAATAATTCTATATAAATTTCTTTATTAATTTTATTATATAAATATACTATATATATATCTATTTAATAAATAAACTAACTTTATAATATTATAAAAACGATAAGAAAGTATAAAGTTATAATTTATATAATAAATATATAAGTTTTATTAAAATCGATATTAAGAATCTATAAGTATCTTTAAATAATAAGGTAAGTTTTATATTTATTAATTATATTATTTACCTTTCGTTTAATCTTAAAAACCTAATAATATCTTATAATCTAATATAATTTAGATTAATTTATAATAACCTAAATATTATTTATAATAAGAGATAATAATTTAATTTAAATTATTAATTTCTATTACTCTATATCTAGTTATTTAAAAGCTTTATAAATTATCTTTAATTTATTATTATTAATATATACTTAATATATAATAATTAATTTAATTTAATTTATTAATTTTATTTCGAATTTAAATTCTTTATAATATTTTATTATTAATATATTATTTTTAATATAATTTAGTATAATTAATATATTTACTATAGTTTCTTATAATAGAAAATCTATTTTAATAAAAATAATATTATAACTTATAATAATTTATTTAATTATAAGATCTAATAATTTTTATACTTTTATTTTTTTATTTATTCTATTTCTAATATATATAAATTTCTTTAATTTTAAAGCTAATTTATAATCTTATTTAAATTAGTATATATATATTAAATAATTAAATACCTAAAAATCGATAATATTTAATTACTATTTAATCTATAATTTAAATAGAGTCTTATAACTATTTCTTTTATTTATAATTATATTATATAATATATAAATATATATAATAGTATAAACCTAAAATAAATAAGATAGATTTCTATATATAAATAAAGTTTAGATTTTATTAAATAAAATTTAATAAAAATATTTAATTTAACTATTTTACTAAGGTATATAAGATATAATTAATTTATATTTAATTCTTATTTTTATTATATATTTTAATATATCTTTATTCTTAAATATTATATTATTATCTATATAAATCTTTTTAACTCGATAAGATTATATATATTTATTTATATTTATCTAAATAATAATTTCTTTTAATAGTTAAGAAATAATTATAAATAAGATAATCGAGATAAATCTTAAATAATTATTAATAATCGTTAGTAAGTAATATTTACTATTTAATACTTTTATTAGAAGAGAGTTAATAATATCTATATAAACTAATTTAAGTAACTTAGTTATCTAAAAATTATTAATATTAAATAGTATTCTCTTATATTTTCTAACTATATATATTTTATAATATTATTTTACTAATTTTCTTTAAATCGTTAATCTACTTATATTTTCGATTATTTTTAAAAGAATATAATATAAATAATATTTAATTCGATTATATAATATATTAATTAAGATATTTTATATATTTATTATAATAATATTTAATTTTAATTAAGCTATATTTAAATAAATATTTATTCTATAATAATAACCGATAATAATCTTCTTATTATCTTTATAATATATAAAATAAATATTTTCTTTACTTATATAATAATAAATTTTACTATATTAATTATAATAATTTATATAGAATCGATATATTAAAAAGAGATTTCTTATAAAAATAAGTATATAAATAATATTTTCTAAGGTAATTTATTTATTTTTATTATTTCTATTTAAAATATCGATTTTTATAGTTCCTCGACTAATCTTATAGATAATTTAGTTTCTATTAATTTAAATTAAAATTAATTTAAAATAATAATTAATAAATTTATTATATTATATTATAATATAATTAGATATATTATAATTAATTATCTATATACTAGTTTTTTAAGTTATATTAATTTATATTATTATATATTCTAAAGTAATTATAATATTTAATCTATCTATATATATTAATATTATTAAATTATTTACTTTTTAAATTATATTTATTAATAATTTATCTTATTTTAGTTTATTTTATTTATTTATCTTATTTTTCTTTGATTCTTTATAAATCTTAATTATATTTTAATAGTATTTAATACTTAAAATTCTTAATAATAAATAACTTTTTAAATAATAACCTTTATTTATATAATTTCTATATATAAAATTTATTAGATTTTTTAATAATTTTAATAATTTAATAATAATTATAGTATAAGCTATTACCTTTATTATTAATTTTAATTATTTTATATTATTTTATCGATTATTATTATTATTATAACTTTATTTCTTAACTCTTTATTTATATTTATTTTATTATAATTAATATTAATCTTATAATTTATATTTAAATAATAAAAGTATCTTTATTTTTAATATTATATTAGTTATTTTATTAATTTTATTTAGTAATATATTATAATAACTATTTATAAATAATAATATTCTTTTAATTATCTTTCTAATATATTTATAATATAAAATAAAGTATTTATATAATTTTAAATAATCGATTAAGATTTAAAGATATTAATAATAATTATTAATTAATTTATCTTTATTTAAATAGAAATAGAAGAATTTATATTATACTTTTTTATAAAGTGATTTAATAGAAATTAAAAAGTAATTAGTTAAAATTACTTATATAGATTCTCTTTATATAAGACTCTATAAGATTCTTATATTATCTATAAGCGATTTAAGATAATAAATTAAATATATAATTAAGTATTTATTCGATTCTTTATCTTTTATCTTCTTTTATTTATATTCTTCTAATTCTTATCGATAAACTTCTTCTATATTATTTTTATTAACTTATTATTATAATAATTAATATTATATTAATATTTATCTAAGTATAACTTTTAACTTAATATTTTATTATAATTTTTAATTTCGAGTTAAGACTCTAACCAATAGTATTTTACTCTAATTAAACTCTCTAGAGAGAGAAGTTATACTTATATCTAGTTTCTTTAGTTCTTCTAAGATACTAATATACTTAAATATAACCTTATATACTTAATAATCTTTTATTTATAGCTATCTTTTAAATACTAGTGCTTATATATAAAAGTTATTCTTATATTCTTTTAATATAGAGGCCTTTACCTTTAATACTATTGATTCTTTAGTATTTATTGATATTTTTACCGAATTACATTGATTCGTGATGAATCGTTAATATTGTACTTGATTCGTCAGAGAACAGTGATATTTTCAGAGCCGGGCAAGTAGAGCTGTTAACTCTGTTAC